GAATTGAGAGAAATTGTGATGTAGTGAATTTCAATCCGTGCAAATATAATGAGATGACAACATAATAAACATATTTTATTGAGCATATCGTGGAAGACTGATATTAAAATAATAACAATAATTTATTTATAACAAATATTTGTTTCCAATCAGAATAAGAAATGAGGAGAAGATATCTATCTTATACTAAATAAGAGTTTGGTCTTGGTGTTTCAATGAATCGATTAATTCTATAGAAATATACTGATATTATAGTAAAATTATTATTCCGGACACGAGTTTTCCATCATTGTGTGCTATATGATTAGGTAAATCTTTATATTATGCTCATCTCTAATAATTTAAACTTTTAAAATAAAGGGTAATTTCAATTTTGTATGGGATTACCACCTGAGCCGGTGGTCTAGTGATAAACCGTATCAGTTTAGAGTCGTTTTTAACTCCTATGTGATTATTAAGTAGGGTTCGATTCACAAGAGTAACACGATTTTTTTTTGACTTTGTTAGTGTTGTGGTGACGAGCTGCCTTCTGAGTTAGTAGAGCTATGACTCAAAATTGGAAATTCGACAATGAGGGGATTCTCATGGTCACATCCAATGAGGGTTACTACTTACTGATTGTCCCTTCCCCTTTTTCCTAACCGCAAAAAAAAAAACCTTAGTATAAGAATCTAGAGGTTATAAGTTCAAATCACACACAATCTCCTCTCTTACTACACAACAATAAATATAAATGTATATGAATGAATCATCGAAGAGAAACCACAGGTGAGGAGAAATATTAGATAAAACACTCATCTAATACACCTCAAGCTTTTAGAGCAGTTTTAAGACAAACATTGTGCAATAGTATGTGCCACGAGATCTATTAAATAATTAGGAAGGATCTGGATCCTTTCAATTTCAAATTATGTCATTTGATCAATTCTAATGATCTTTTCCAAATTTAATATATCTTCTTAGTAGATGTCATGGATACACCCACCAACACTAATATATAATAGAATTATCTTTGAATGAATGATTGAATTGGACAAACGATGACTACATTTGAAATTAAAACGATTGGAATCCCAAAAACAAAAGGAATATGCTAAATAAAGGATATACAAGAACACCACTCAAACAAGAATATGCTAGTGGATCATTTGGTAAGTTTCACTATTGAAAGATAAATTGATTTTGATAGACAATCTAAACCAAAGTAAATTAGATTTTGCGCGTAAGTTTGCATGATACCGGGATATATTTTTATCTTATCCCACATTTGAAAATGATTCGGTAGAAAAAGGTCAAAAAAAAAAAGCGAGTTATGTGATGTGAGTCTTATGACATTAAATTATATGTCACCATGCACAGTTAGGAAGTGTTTTTGACAATATTGTCCTCCGTTTAATGAAGTGTTTGATTTGATTCAAGGGTACAATCAATAATTTTAGTTATAATTCCAATTCATTCAATTTACGGAGAATTACGCCCAGACTCCTTGTCACTTAATCACTTAGATTCCCTGACAATTGAAATATTATACACAGATCCCCTGACGTTTGTACGCGTGTAACACTTAAAAATATATTGTAAATATATTCATTAATAAATTATACTTAGACTTCCTTGAAGTTTGTAGGTATATAATATTTAGATCCCTTAAGTTTAAAATATTATATTTAGACAAAAAATATTTCAATCAAAGATAACATATCAAATATTTTAAATTTTACAACTAAAATTCATATTTTATTGTATCATTTATTGAAATAAAATTAAAATTAAAATTTTAATTTTTTATTTAAAAATTATAATTAATATACAACTATACTATCTATTGGAATAGAACGAAAAATTAAATAAGAGGTCTAATTTATTCATAATAGAACATAAATTTTTCATCCAAAATTCATATTCTATTATGTCATTTATTGAAAAAAATCAAAAATAAAAATTTAGTTTAAAAAAAAATCATAATTAATATATAATTATACTATCTATTAGAATAAAACTAAAAAAATTAAATAAGGGGTCAAATTGTAATGGACACAATATTTTTTAACTTTAATTGGGGTAGTTTAATATTTTAATTTGGTCGTTTAAACGACCAATTTAAATTTCAATAGAAAATATAATTATTTACTAATTACAATTTTTAAGAAAAAATTGAATTTTTATTTTTAATTTTATTTCAATAAAAGATAAATAGATCATGAATTTTAATCATAAAATTTAAAATATTTGATACTTTATTTAATTATCTTTGATTGAAGTATTTTTGGTCTAACTATAACATTTTAAACTTAAGAGTTCTAAATAATATATGTTTACAAACTTCAAGGGGTTTGGTTGTAATTTATTAACGGATATATTTACAGTAAGGTCTAAGTGTTATGCGCGTACAAATTTTAAGGGGTTTGTATGTAATATTTCAAATGTCAGAAGATCTGAGTGATTAAGTGACAAATTCAGAGGGCCCAAGTGTAATTCTCGCTTCATTTTAATACCACCCATTGATAAGTTTCAATACTTGCGTAGAAATGAGGTTATATGCAGTAATAATTGTAGGCCCAGATTCATACTTATGTTGGAAAAAAAAATATTATCACTAGAAGGATTAATTATATTAGAGGTCTCCAAAGTATTTAATTTGTCTTATTTTGATTCTCAATATTTTAATTACATCATTTTAGTCTTTGAAATATTTAATATATTTTTATGTGATTTTTCAAGTAAACAGTTCAGATTGCTGACGATTTTTTATTATAAACTTGTCACATAATACTTAAATATAAGTAAAATAATAATTTGAATAACTTTTGATTAAATTTGCATCCAAATTTTGGTTAAATGACTACCTAAATTACACAGTTTTGATCATGAGCTATCCAAATTTTAGTCGATGACTACTCATATTACACATTTTTGGCCAAGAGTTACCCAAATATTTGTTAAGAGCTATCTAAAATATTTTCTGTCTATATTTAGATATTACGTGACAAATTTATAATAAAAAATCGTTAGCATTTTAAAAGTTATCTGTTCGAGAGACTACATAAAAATATATTCAATATTTTTAGGGATCAAAATGATATAAATAAAATAGTGGACCAAAATAATACAAATTATATATTTTAGGGCCTTTAATGTAATTAATCCTAAAGTGATTATCAACACATATATAATGTTGATATTTAATGGTTTAAATTATCAACTCTAATTTTTAAATCTACTTTTTAAGTCCACGTACCATTACCCTATAATCTTAGGCATCAAGTCGCTTTGCCACTTCCTCAAGGATAAGATTGGTCCCACATGAGATTTTAGAAATGGAATTCACAGTATGTTTTGCGTATGGTACCAAAAAATATTATTTATTATCTAATATTTATACAAAAAAATTACGATCCAATAGGTCTGGCAATTTGACAACGACCCAATAAAATAAATTTTGATTGAACTTATTGTGTATTAATAATTTCATCTTTAACTTGCACTGCAATAATATCCATATTATACGATATTATAAAACTCTTTTTTTTTTTGGTTATGTAATATATCTGATAATATTAAATATTCTTTCTCCCAAATTAAACATAAATAAATTTAATAAAAAAAATAATAGTATTTTTGGCGAATTTTGGATTGCGGATGTGCCAAATTCTTAAATGATTTAGCTTCTAAACACTTACGATCTTACTTATTCGAATTAAGGTAAAAATTTTAAATCGTGTTTGCTTAGATGATTGAAACGAAGCATAAGACTATTTCTAAATTTTTTTTCCCCTACCTTGACGAGCAAAGACTTAAACTGTTTCCTTCGCAAACAACGAATGAACTAAGAATTTAAGATAACTTGGGAAAAAGAGCATAACATAACCGACAAAGAGAAATTGTTACATAAATTATTGTACTTGAAATTAAACAAAAAAGGGTGTCACTAGAGTGATGATTATAATGTAAAGAAAGATTATGGTATATTACTCTTTCCGTTCTTAAATATATGTTGTTTTATCCANGAAATTAAACAAAAAAGGGTGTCACTAGAGTGATGATTACAATGTAAAGAAAGATTATGGTATATTACTCTTTCCGTTCTTAAATATATGTTATTTTATTTAAATTTTTTTATTCCACAATATCTGTCATTTTATGAAATTAAAGTATAATTAATATTTTTTCTTTCAAATTTACCCTTATTTCTGTTTTTCAGTAAGTGTTTAATAGATTAAGTGTAGGTTAAGTGTCTTTCATATTCTCTTCCTTCCCAATATGTATTAAATAAGAATATTTTAGTCTTGTGTAATTATTTTTTACTCATACTAGAATTATTTAATAGCTTCCTTAATTTCAGTACAAAAACCTTTAAACAACAGATATTTAGGAACGGTAAGAGTATGTATGTGTGTAATCGAGAGACTCTTTCTATGCAACTTAATCATATGTATTTATAAGAAGTGGCTATTAATTGTTTGAGTCGGTTTTTTTTGTCACGAGACCAATAATCATGACATCTATTTCTAACATCATGTATCGGACATAGAATTATCTGTAATTGTCGGATCATAATATCATAGTGTCTTCATTACCTGAAATCCATGGAGACCTTTTTTCTGTTATCCCGATCAATCTCCCTCATTTTTATTATTGATGAAACATGTTTTCTTAATTTCGGGCCTCCTTGTTTTCTGAGAATGTCGGCCATTCCTCGACTTTAAGGATGTCGGCTCGGAGATTTTCAAAATGCTGGTACTTGGTAACAACAGAGATAGCGACAAGCAGAGTGTGGTGAATTGAACCTTGGTAAGATGGGCCGACGTTGGCCCAAATCTAATTAAGAAAAAAACAAACGTGGTCAACAAAGACAAAGACAAAGACAAACACAGGACGTGGCATCTCCTTAGAACCAAACGAAAAATGACTGGTGGAGACTGTCATGGCCCACCATATTGGGTTTTCCCACACCTCACGTCTCTTCTTTGCCCTTATCTACTTATCTTCTTCCTTCTCTTTTGCTTTTTAATCTTTTTTTAAAAAATTGTCACTGTTATTTTCCTTTAAAAAAATCATTAAATAATAGATTAGAATAATCAAGTATCATACTTTATAATTAGCTTTAAATTAGTTTGAGACTCCATAAATTTATATATTTTTTATTCTAGTTGTAACCCATTATGGAAATATTAATTATTATTTTTTTTTCATAGTTTCTCTGTCCATTTTAATTCATTTAAAATCATAAAGTNTATTTTTTATTCTAGTTGTAACCCATTATGGAAATATTAATTATTATTTTTTTTTCATAGTTTCTCTGTCCATTTTAATTCATTTAAAATCATAAAGTAAATAGAGGAATTGTTTTATTTCTCATATTGTAGGATTTAGAGAATTAGTGCTTTTGAAAATTATATTTAAGCAAGAAGATATAGTTGTCTAAACTCAAAGGATTAACCTAGAGGTAGTTTAATCACCTTGATAATCCTCTCATGAGAGATTAGTTAGGGATTCAAATATCCCACAAAACGTATCACCCATAGATTTATCTCTTGTGTGGAGAGANAGAGGTAGTTTAATCACCTTGATAATCCTCTCATGAGAGATTAGTTAGGGATTCAAATATCCCACAAAACGTATCACCCATAGATTTATCTCTTGTGTGGAGAGACACTTTTGTAGAAAATAAAAAATCATCAAATATGGAAAAATTTGATCATGCGAATTTTTTTTTTCCCGATAAACATTTGTTTCCTGCTAAACAAATGATAGATTTTTTATTTTTTTCCTCTTTCCCCATTTTCCACCGTTCTCTCACTAACCAAACAAATCTATTGAAACCTAAAAATTTGACTTAAATTTATTGATCTAATTTACTGTAATCTTTGGATTGACTGTAGGCCTCATCAAACATTAGAACTTGGTGTTAATCCAATGATTCTTATTAAACTACATCATTATGTCAGCAAATTAAGTNAATTTACTGTAATCTTTGGATTGACTGTAGGCCTCATCAAACATTAGAACTTGGTGTTAATCCAATGATTCTTATTAAACTACATCATTATGTCAGCAAATTAAGTCCAAATTTTAGGTCTAAATAACATTTTTCTTTTGTATAAGGTCCAACATAAATTTGGTAAGTGTTGATGATGCACAAAAATGGTTTTGCACACCACCTGTCAAGTATAGATCATAAATGCGATGAAATCAACGAAAAAATTAGAGAAGACACAATTTATAGTGGTTCGGTCAATTCGACCTACGTCCACTCTTCAATGGCTTCAGTTGCCGGGTATTTTATTGATTCAAAGGTATGGAGAATGGAGATACAAGCTTTGAGAGNAAAAAGGAAAAATTTTAACCACATCCCTTATAATTTATCATATCTTCAAAGACACCCCTCTAATTTTTGAATCTTCAATAAAACCCTTATCAGATTAAAAATATTAAGAGAAAATTTCAATGACACCCCTTCTAATTTTTGAATCTTCAATAACACCCTTTATAGTTTAATTTAAACATCACTAACATCCCCTACCATTAAAATTAGAAAATAAAGGAGGTCTCATTGAAGATATATTTATTTAAAGGAAATTTTATTGAAGATATGTTTATCTAGAGGAGTGTAGATGAAATTTATCCTCAAATATATCATGAATAATTTAATAAAATTGTATTCTATTTAATGGTTTAATGGTAAAAGGTATTAATGATGTTTAAATTAAACTAGAAAGGATATTATTGAAAATTCAAAAAATAGAAAATGTGTCATTAAAAATTATTCAAAATTTAGAGGAGGTGTCGTTAAAATTTTCCCTAAAAAAATGGGACCACATCACACCATAGCGTCTAAGACCAGGTCTATATAACAAACAATTGGTTGCTTCAACCTCAATCTCTGCTTCTACTTCCATATCCATACCCACCAAAACCTTCCGGCCGCCATGACCATTTCTTACTTCATCCCCTCCTTGGGTGATCGCCGGAAAGTTGGCCGGAAATCCGGCTTGCGGAAGCGGTGTTTGGCGGTGGTGAAGCAGCAGAAAACCAGGTTCTACATCCTCAGGCGCTGTGTTTCTATGCTTCTGTGTTGGCATGATCATTCCATTTCAGATTGAATCCGGGAATCGTCACATCGATCCATGGTGTTGTAGATATGAAGTAGTTTAGTGCATGAGACTCTCACTATTGCAGAGTTTGGAGATACTCGAGACGCCGGAGCACAATCAAGCAATTTTAGGGCTGCGTCACTGTCAAGAGTCAAGACCCACCCTCATCCATGCTCTGTAACAATCCGGCATATCTTGATCTGGGCAGTTCCATTTTGATTCAAGGAGCTGATGCTTTCAAAGATATAGGGACTATACGTGTAGTAAGATCAGAGGATGGCACGGATTGGTCGAATAAGAGACGAGATGTAAATTGATATGTCGTGAATCCGAGTTATCTTTACTTGTATAATATCTGAATGAGTTTAATCAATGAGGATGGTTTAACTGTGACTGTATGTATGTATATGAGATTTGTATTAGAATCTAAATTCGCATGATTGGAACGATTATAACCTCATGGGTGCCTAAATTTTATGAAGATCTGAGCTTCACCAGAGTTGGGGGGGGGGGGGGGGGGGGGGGGGG